CTGGCCGGGCCGGAGGGAACCCGGGCTCCGTCCCCGCCGCGCGTCTTCCTGCGGGCAGCGGCGCTGTCCCCTGAGCTCCCCCCGCTGCCGGCCCGGCGGTCTCCCCGCTCAGAAACCCCCCACCCGCGTCCGGGAGGAGGCTTGGAGGGGCGAGCGCCGCCCGCTCGCAGGCGGTACCTCTCTCCAGCGGGTGGCTGCGGTTTCTGTGCCGCTTTCCCTCCGTCGAGGTAACTTCGGTCGGCGTTTGTTTCCTGCTGCAGGGAAGTTAGAAATGGATTAATTCATACAAGGAACAAGAGCAGTCAAGGAAATCTTAAAGTTGTACGTTGAGGTGTTGTGGCACAGACTAATTACGGTGTTGTGAAAATTAATTGGGAGATGAGAGTGAAGTAGTTAGAAGGAGACGGTCTTGTTAAGAAACCTCTTGTATTAAGCTGTCCCCAAATATTTCCATGGGTATTACGTGCAATTGGGATTGCTTAAGAGATTGTAGACAAGCTTGTCTCTGTTTATGCAAATACAGAGAAAGAGAGAAGAAAAACACTTCCCCAGGCTACGGTATCATTTCCTCCCTAAAACTGAAGATTGGATAGAGATTTAGGAAAATGTCCTTGACTTTCTCAACACCAGAAGAAAAATCTCTCCCTACAAACATGTGGAGAGCTGCCCTCATTTGGGGATGAACGTGCTGTGGGAATGCCCTTTGCTGCTCAGGCAGTGAGGACGGTGCGGTATAGACTTGCATCCATGATGGATTCCAGTGAAATAGAGGAAGATAGTTTTGCTTGATTAAAAGCGTAAACACACAGCTGTCTTAAACTTCATTGCATAATTATGAGCGCAGCTGTGCAGCTTATCTTTATGTAACAATTTTAAGATTTTTCCTTAGTTTTCTGTACATGCTGTGATTGCCATTTTTATTAATGTGCAATTATTTGTGTTATAACCTCCGTAACGTCTTAAATGTTCTTAAAAGAAAAAGCTTGGTAAATTCGACCGATACTAAAGCAGTTGATGTTGAGATGTATTTCACTGTGTTCATTTCAGAGTATAGCTATTAGGGAGAGAGCTTTATAATCCTTTCTAGAACTAGCAGAAAGCTACCTTCTGCAGTGTAAGATTTGAATTCAGGCTTTGGTGCTGCAGAACCTGAAATAAAGTGTGTATCCTTAGAGGTAAATACACAACTTCACAAAAGTCATAAACCGGAGATGCGCAGCATGAGGTCGCAGGTCTGGTTCTTGACTTACAGCAGTGCTTTTCAGTTGGCACTGTGTGCCTTGGTTACTCAGGGTTCCTTGACAGCTATGTTTTTCTTTCAACTTGATTTGTTCTGCCTTCACTTGAAGGTTCACGTGTTGCATTTCCAGCCATTGAACATCTCCACCTACAGATTTGCAACTAATATAGGCTTAAGTTTATTTTCCTTTACCTTGAATTCCTTTGGAAGTTGCCAGCTAGATTGGCTTCCAACAAACTTACTTGTTGTTAGCAAAATACAATCTTTTTATTCTGCTGCAGTTTAGAGAGGTTTGTGGTTTATTTGATTTACTTCAGGAAACCTAAAGAGGAGATCTTATCGGCACAGTTGTTAAATAATCCAAGACAGGCAGTGCAGCGTGGCAGATGATTTGTGTGTAAATGAACTGTGCAACACAAATCCTTAAATCAAGGAGTCTCTGCTGATGTATTAAGAGATCACCACAATGGTCTGTTCCACAGAAACCTCTCCACTGAGAAGTCTGTGCTGAAGTTTTAATGTTAAAGGTCCTGCACAGGTTTTCATAAGTTAAAATGGCGATTTAACCCATGTAAAGACAATGTATTGCAGTTTCAAACTTTATTTTACGCAGCAACGTTCTCTTTTGGTTAGTGTGGGCAGGCTGCCTCGTTTGAGGTTTTGTCTGTATGGTCTCAGGAGTCCAATTAGCTCTACTTTAAATCTGCAGCACTTACTTGGCCATGGAAGCAAATGTTAAAGCTGCCGAATATAAATCTCATTAGTATAGATGCACACTTTGTACCATATACCAAGGAATTACTAAAGGTCACCTCTCTACTCAGTAAAAGAGTTCGCTCATTATGAGAACTACGGTCTTGACGAGAAGATGATGTGTAACATAATTTCAATTAGCTGGCATTAGCTCTGTTTGCAGTTTGGTAGGGGAGAGGCCAGAACACTGTGAGCGGACCCTTCCCCTTCCCTGTTGGCACCTCAGGTGCAGCTAAGCTTTTCTGCTAGGTTTTGGTTAGTAAGTATTAATTTTTGAGGGAGGGGAAGCATATAGGGGTGATGTTCTAATCTAAAATTGCTTGTTTGTAGTTGTCTACTAACATGATGATGCACAGTAGGTAAAGCTGAAAATTATAGTACCGAGCTGAAAAAAGGAGAAAATGGTCTTGAGACAGGGGTTTTCTACAGCTGAAGTTTTACTAGATAGTGGGCTATCCCCCTAGGAAATAGTGAAGCTCCTGGGGGAGCTTTTTTGTCTTCAAAACCAGTCTGGTGAAAGCGTGGTGATACTCTGTCAGGGGACAGATTTGCTCTGCCTGAAGTATGGATCGTGTGGACAAGTAGGTCTTCTCACTTAATGCTTTGATAGATTGTGAGCGCTTAGTTTCTAACCTACTGCCTGTTAAAAGTCATTGAAAGACTCCCAAAGGCACACCAAATTAATTTCTACTTTTACTGAAGCAAAGAGCCTAAGCTCCATTGCTAGCAAAGAGCTGTTGCTGCAGAACCCGCTCTATTATGTCTCCTTTGTTGCTGTAATGATCTATGTGGAGTAATTACAAAAGCTTGTTTGTTTGAATGACTAAAACTAGTACAGCGAGATGAATACTTCATCTGCGAAATGACATGTTTCCTGAACGTTTGGCTTAGCAGTAATTGTACAAGGCAAATGCAGTTTGCGCTACTGGCCTAACAGCACATACTGCACAGTAAAATTAGAGATAGCTTTCCAGAATGGTCTTGTGTTCTGTTATAATACTATATATGTTGTTCTTATACAGATTATCTCGATAATGGCAATAATAAAATGGCAATCCAGCAAGCTGATAAACTGCTCAAAAAACACAAGGATCTTCACTGTGCAAAGGTAAGTGTGATTGCGGTGCACTGACCTCGTTTGGTGAGTGTAGCTCTGAGACTTGGAGTGTTTTGCTGTGCCTTTTGAGCGGTGTCCGTGATCTTCCAGAGACCCCCACGGTGTTTTCTGAACCCTCTGGAATGTCTTGGGCTGCTCTCATTCACACAATATCGTCTGAAAACTTGCATGGATCCTCTTGGTGAGGTGCCTCTAATGACTAGAGTGTCATTAGTTACACCTGAGCTAATTGTCTAGCTCCCTGTCAGAGCCACTGCAAGCCACCTTGGCGCATGGGCTGTGCCTTGAAAATGCCTCTCTAGACCTTACGTTGGGAATCTTTCTGCTTTTCTCTTTTCCCTGTGGGTTTTCCTCTACAGTTCATACTACTTCTACATTTTGAAAGCTTCCCAAGCTGAAGCAAGTGTCATTGACTTGAATCTCATTTATGTCACTTCTCTCTGGCCAGTTACTGAAAGAAAAAAAAGAAAATTGGCAGGGCTGGTCAGTCTTCAGTCTGCGGGTAGGGAAAACTGAGTGGCAGTTGATGCCTTAGAGTGGCCTGCATGTTTGTTAAGAAATGCAAAGCCACGCTGTTTGATGCAGTTTGCATTTGGAAGTTTTCCTCTACAGCCATATGGATTAGAAGCTTAATAAAACCTGAAGTTCTGTAGAAGCAATGAGGTGGTTGGGCAAAGCCTCTCATCACCAGGAATGAGAGGATTTTCACTGGTAACTGCCAACTGTGTTTCTAACAGCTGCCTCTGTGTTGTGTCAATAGGTTCTAAAGGCAATTGGCTTGCAGAGAACTGGCAAGCAAGACGAAGCGTATGCTCTGGCACAAGAAGTAGCAGCACTTGAACCCACAGATGATAATTCCTTGCAAGCACTAACTATTCTTTACCGGGAAATGCATAGACGTAAGCTTTTTCCTTTGCCTCTCTTAAAAATCATAATTATTTACGTTCTTCCAGAAGTAGATGTGACCCACAGTTTCATGGGGAACATGCAAAGTCCAGGGTTCGTGTATAGGCGTGTTATTAAGAGACTCAGGGAATTTAAATGATGACTGTTACAAATGCCTCTAAGGCTCTAGTGATCACCATAAAGCAAAGAACTTAATTTAGGCTTCTCTCATTAACGTTATTGTGTACACAGTTCCTAAATGAATGGCATGCTAATAATCATCCACCACAATCAGCCTGAGAGTTCACTTTTTTTTGATGAAAGCTACTGGAATTTGTTGTCAGTATATGTGGTAGAGATGACAAATCACGTGGTCTGTGGTTTGGAGTGTGCTTAATGCTGTGAAGACCGTAGTCGAGGGGTTCAGGCCTCAAGAAGCTGTGTGACAAACAGAAGGGAAATCCTGGCCTCTCAATTTGACCGCATTAGCTTTTTCAGTATGGTTCCTTGTAGTGATACGGTATTTTAAAAATACTAAATCGTGAATGTTTGAGTGACGGAGTAAAATTGCATGTGCTTTTCTGAAAGAAGCCAGACCTTATATGCTGCTTATCTACAGCTCTAAACAGTTGTTGTTTCTGGCAGCTTCTTGTGGTTCTTGGTGGTGGTAGCAACATTTACTGTTGAATTGCTGGAGCAATGACAATGGGGCGAAACAACTTCTATAGAAATGGATATTTGGTACCAGTCTGCAATATAGTAATTGCTTATGCTCTCCTAGTTTATTTCTTTCTGTGTGTGTATGTATATGTGGAGTTAAAGCATCATTTCTATATATGAAATTTTTGTGTGTATGTGTGACTTCAACATAAACAAACCCCTGAAAATGTCAAAAGCCTTTCTGTGATTCTAAACAACTTGCATAAGCATTAAGGTCAGGTTTCTAACTTTTAGGTTTATACCTCAGAAGGGAAATAGTGGGTGTTAGGCACTTCCACTTTGGGTCCTGCAAGAAAATTGTAATTAGATGTTTTATGTATGTGTGTTGAGGATATGTAAACTATGTGAAAAACAAATTGCATTTAGTTTTCTAATACTACACTGAGATATGATTGTATGTATAAGGAAAAAAAATCTGGAAGGATGAAAATGTAAGAAAGCTTTGCATATTATAAGTATTTAGTCATGATAGACCTATTATTAAAAACTATAGTGTGAAGTATTTTACTTGTTGAGAGTACTAAAATAGGCAATTGGGAAATAACAGGATATGACTAACATAAGTAAACCTGCGATAAGAGTAACTAACTTGGTATTAGGCTCTGAAAATGTTTTGTGTTTTGATAGATAATTCATGTGAAGCAGTCATTCTGCCAGGAGTAGAAATCTTCATTCAGTTTAATGCTCCAAAATAGATAAACTTTCTTAAGAAAAAGGCTTAAGTGCTTCTGAGCAGTTCAGTTGTTGCTGTTAACTCTATTTTGAGGTTTGTTTCTTTATTATTTTTTAAGCACTTTCCTCCTTTGCCTAATGTTTGTAGTGCTTGGGGTCTTGGGGGAGAGTACCATTTCTGTGGTCGATGAGTGTAGCTAGATTACTGTTCAGAGGATCACTGATGCTGTCTTTAGGTAGCTGTGCTTTAAAATTATTCCCAAATTTGTCTTAACTCAAGCATCTGGTTTTGGTTTAGCGGAACTGGTAACTAAACTTTATGAGGCAGCTGTAAAGAAGGTTCCCAACAGCGAAGAGTATCACTCTCATCTCTTCATGGCCTATGCCAGGGTTGGAGAATACAAGAAGATGCAACAGGTACAATCAACAATTTGTGTTCTGGTCATTTTAAGGTGTCTTTTTCTGTATATCTTACTGTTAATGCCTTCTCATATTGTAAGTAATCTTCCAGAAAGCTAAGCTGGGTTAATGCAGAAGTTGTACTCTATGTTAGCTTCTACAGAAAGGCTTAAAAGACCATTATTTAGGGGGTGGGTTATCTGAAGACAAGTGCTTTCTTTTCCTTACATGGGATAGGACAGCTGTGCCTTTTGTGTGCATATCTGGTCTGATAGAATGTGTTGGTTATTTGGGGAGGTTTTTATCAATCTCTCCTGAACAGCACGGTGGTTACGTATGAGGCAGTGTATTATAAAGGAATTCTGGAATAGATATAAGAAGATCTAGCAAGATCTCTGATCCATGTTTTCAGACTTGATTTACTCCTTAGTTTTTACTTAGATTTACTCCCTGTTATCTTTGGGAAGAGTAATCTTGCCCATGCTTTTACCTCTGGAATCTAACATATAACTAGGCTTGTACTGATTGTGATTCAGTGAAGAAAAACTAAAAAGCACTTCCTTTAAGTACATCTTACTTCTCAGTTGGCAGAACAGTGTCATGCTGGTTAGTTCTGTTTTCATCCCTTCCAAATTAGGTGCCTGGAGAATGCCTATAAATGGAAGATTCTTTTCAAAGCATGCACGCTCGCTCTTCTGTATAAAAAAGCATAGAGAGCCACGTAAATGAGTCCTAAACTCCTTCTTGTTCCCACTGTGTTAAGGTGACTTCAATTTTTGTACAAGTTTGCTTTAAATAACTAAAGTAATATATTGAGCAGAAGTGTTATTCTCCATTGTAGCCCAACTTGTATGCTGTTTGAGTTCAAGCTGTAGATAGGGGCTAAGTTATTAATGTACATGAAATGTCAAGCCTCATATGATAATCTAAACTTCAGAGACGTGACTATGTTAATTGTACTCCTGTCTACAACCCTGAGTGGAAAACATACCAGTCTTGCACAGATAATGATATTTAACATTTATCTGACCTTTTGTATGTTTAAAGTGTCATACAAACATGTATCTAGTTAAGTTATCCAGACATTGTCAGAGAGCAGGGTGTTCCAGATTGGCCTGTGTATTTGACTTACGGACTTAGAGATGTGAAGGGTGCGTGGATGCTAACTGATTGGAGAATGAAAATAAACCTCAGCGTCCTGTGTTCTGGGGTATTTCAGCTGAAAGTACTGGAAAATGCAAAGTGAGACTGCAGTCAGGAAATTGGCACAAAAGTCCATCTGTGGTAGTAGACTGTATTATATGTAGTTCCTTAAAATTAATTACAGATTTTGTATGGGTGAAAGTGTTGTTCTTCATTATATACAGACACTGGAAATCTGTGAGAGAAATATATGAATAACTGTTTCTGTATTAGGCTAGAGAATCTTGAATTCTTTGGCTCTACTTTGATACAGCCGAGCTTTCAGTTTGACCTTTGCTTAACCACTGCTTTGCATGTATAGGTGACCTCATATTTTGGATATCTGAGTATGTGTATGTATGAAATGAGTGTTGAAGGGCAGTTGCTTACATGAGGGAGGCATGTGGTTTGGTGTGCCTTTTAGCACTGACGGAGCATATTAGTGAAAATCAGCACTGGAAATATCCCCCTCACTCCTGAAGAATAAGTTTTCTGCTTCCTAATGTAGTTACCTCTTCTAATTAAAGCTGTCATTTGTTTAGGCAATTATACATGCAAATGCTCATTGCCGTTCCTTGTCAGACCTACACAAAGTACTTGATCTTTGAAACATTTTCACCCTCTATTTTCTTTAGAATGTGTGTTAGGATGGAATGGCTCATGGGTTGATAAAAATCCTCCCATCTAGTTGCTAATTCTATGTTGTCTGCTGCCGTCATTGCTGCTTACCTTGCGTTGTCTGTCATGAGAGCTCATAAACAGATACGTTTCAAGAATGATGAAACTTTGTCTTACATTTTTCAGGCTGGAATGGCACTTTATAAGATTGTACCCAAAAATCCTTACTATTTTTGGTCTGTGATGAGCCTGATTATGCAGGTGCGTACAGTGTTGCAAATGAGTTGACTTTCGCTACAGGTATAGTGCAAACACAGAAATGCTCCAAGTGAGGATATTAGAGATATTTTAAGTAAAATGTCTGAACTGTTTCTCTATGATGCTGGGAGAAGGACTGGGCCCTCCTTAAGCAGCATTATTGATGTGTTCAACATGAAAGCTGTAGTGTTTTTATAATGCAACTTAACTGGTCTGCCTTGCCATGTTTATACAACTTGAATTATTCTCTTATCTGGACTAGTACCCTGCTGTCTGTTTAGTTAGAGAGCTAATGAATAAATCCTCAAATATCTGCAGCTCCTTAGGCAGAACTGTTTCTCTCCGTAACTAGGTTATAAAGGCTCTAAGAGGAAATAAATGAGAGCTCTGGACTTAGCATGGCTTTAAGACTGCAGAAAGTCTGCAGGAATAGACAGCAGATCAGCTGTGCTGCTGTTAGTTGAGATAGCAGATTCGGGCACTAATCAGACAGCCTTACAGAGCGTTGGCCAAGCAAAAAATAAGCATGGAGGCATCAATCACATTCTCTAAAATACTGTGCCATGGAAAACACAAATGTGTTCTTGCTACATGTTACTTGCCATGGATATTGTGTGCCTAGATGCGCGAGTCTCTGGACAATGTAATCAAGAGTGAGCTCTTCAGTATATCGCTAGTTTTATTGCTGCCTTTTAACAGAGCAGTTGCTCTCCGCACGTGACAGATGGCAGCTCTGAATGTGTGGTTTTGGGGGGATTGAAGCACCTGTTCTGGTTTTTTCCTCTTCTAATGTGAAAAAAGCAGTGGGTGGGACAACACAAAAAGTTGATGAGCTGTTACAATAATTCTTCTCTTCCTTAGTCTATTTCAGCACAGGATGAAAACCTCTCAAAGACAATGTTTTTGCCACTAGCTGAGAGAATGGTGGAAAAAATGGTGAAAGAGGATAAGATTGAAGCTGAGGCTGAAGTAAGACTTGCAGATAATTTCAGCTTGATTTGAACATTATTGAGACAAGGAATGCACTGTTAAAGAAAATGGATTGTTTTAACAGTTTTCCAAGATAATAATCAGTAGTGTTCTGGAAGTAAATGTGAATGTAGCGGGACAGAAGGAAAACCAAGAGCCAGAGGGTTGAGAGGGATTTGGAATTGTGGGGCCAAGGAAATTTTTTGGCATTTGATTTGACTGATGGAGTACTTGGTTTTGCTCCCTGGGAGGCCCCAAGAGAAACTTCAGGATTGAGAATGGAAAAAAGACCTAAATTCCTGAATGTTCTACCCTCTGGGATGCTAAAGATAGCTTTGCAGGCCTGGCTATCTCCTATTTCTAATGACAGTAACACAAGCCACTTTATTTCTTGGCACACCTGTATATTGTTTTACTAGCAAATTTCATTGCAGCCTAATCTTTCTTTTAAGGTCGAACTGTACTACATGATTCTGGAACGTTTGGAGAAGTATAAGGAAGCCTTAGATGTTGTGAGAGGAAAACTAGGAGGTAACTTTTTCTGTCAATTAATAATTACAGTTGTGTGGAGGAACAGCAGTTCTCCTTTGCTTCAGACTTGTCCACTGGTTACAAAAAAAAGGCTGTAAGGAGCCTGACTCTTAGTACCAGTTTCAAACATTGATGCAAACTCTGGAGGTGCTGTCGTGCAAGCTGGTTTTACCCACCTGTTTATGGTATTTAAGTGTTATTCAGTGATGAACTTTGCAGCAGTATGATTAGCCGCAGTAAATTGATAGCATGTTAGTTTGTAGCTGCCATCTTAACAAAAAAAAAAAGTATGTTCCTAATCCTGCGTTTTTGTGGACTCTTTCTAGTGATTAAAATGCACTTGCAGTTTTAAGGAATTGAGATATGAAGGTTTCCATAGCAAATCTGTCCTTTCCATCCTTCAAGGGCCTCTCTCCTGTTCTCTTACACTTACTGTTTTGCATCCTTGGCTATAATAAGAAGCTTTGTGCAGAAAGTAGAGAAGGAAATGCATTGATTAAATAAACTTGCCCTTCTGTTTTTAATTTAGAGAAGCTGACAAGTGAGCTCCAAAGCCGCGAGAACAAGTGTATGGCGATGTACAAGAAGCTGTGTAGGTGGCCAGAGTGCAATGCGCTGTCGAGAAGGCTGCTGCTGAAAAAGTGAGATGATATTTCTGCAGTCCTACTAAAAAACTGAAGAAAAATTCTGGCCTGGTTGTGAATTGCCTCGTTTAGTGGCTTTTGAAAATAGTGGTTAACATAGAAGAACATCAGAGGATCTCAAAGCATTTCCAAACGTTTACACTCCAAAGCCTGAAGAAGAGGGCAGCAGAATGGAACGTTAAAGGGAAGGTCACAGGGAGAGTCAGCATCAGGACTGTAGTTGCTTCTTTTTGAAGGCTGACTTTAGTGACACGTTAATGCGATAAAATTTTGTTTAACTCCTTATTTCTAAAGGCTGTGCTGGTTGTCCGGCTCTAACTTTCATGGTGGGACAGGAGGAGAATTGCATTTACATTTGATTTTCTGGAACTTCATTTCTCTCACCTAGCCAGACTTCATACTGGGAAATGCATGTAATGCTTTGAACAGACGCATCAGGAGAGAGCATGCTAGTATGATCAAATCTGTCTCTTGGAACTGTCAAGAGAGATTTGTTGTTTGCTTTTTGTATTTAGCTGTGCCCTAATCTTAAGCATAAGTTAAATACAGAGGCTTGAAGATTAGAAGGTTCTGTCAGCATCCACTGTCCACGGGGACAGCAAAATGTTTCTTCTTTAGAGAAGTTGTTCTTGGTATTTAATATTTGTTAAATGTATTTGCAGTGGGAGAAACTGGAGGAAATAAGCATCAGCTTTACAGGACACTTGAACACAACACTGACAACATGTAGAACTAACATAAGGACATTTTCAGCTTTACCTCTTCGTATTTGGCATCTCCTGTTCTATACTCTTAAATTCCTCTGAACATGGGCAGGAAAAGCTTCTGCCTTAGCATTTTGGGGATATTCATGAGCTCTGATTGGAATGTAAATGTTGAGAGGAGAATTTGTAGCTTGTGTCAATTCTTTATTGAAATTGTTTCCTTTAATATGTTTCAAGAAGTTCAGGATGATAGCATTCTTAAGATGTGAGACCTTTTCAAGGAGAAATGATTCTTATTACAGTTGTTTTTTCTGCGATATGAATACGTGCTATTCCTTAAATTCAGCTTTTGCAAGGAATGCAGTTTTAGAAGTGAGTTACTGTTTTGGCAATTCCCTAAACTTTGTTCTGTGCCTGATTTTTGTTTCAGCTCAGATGATTGGCAGTTTTATATAACTTACTTTGATTCAGTGTTTCAACTTATTGATGAATCCTGGACGCCTCCACCAGAAGAAGAGCAGTAAGTTAACTGTTTTGCTGTGGATTTATTTTTCCTTTGTGCTACAGCAAATGGTTTGCATTCATATGTTCAGTACAGCACTGTCTGCATCTTTGGGTGACTTCTTGACATCAGACCCCAAATGATGTGTTCTCCCTACTTTGTTTTGGAGGCTGGCAATAGTTTATTGGAAACAGCTGTGTAAATAGTGGTTTGTATGCTATAGAACTCTTCCGGTTCATATTTTTCATGGTGATTGAGTTAGAGAATCCATCATGCCAGATTTCCTTAAGAGTATCATGGGCATATGCTGAGCATGTGTTATTGATGCTGTAGCAATGGGAAAAATCAAAGAACCTTTTGTCTCTTTAATTGCACAGCTCTTTGGAAGGAGAGGTACACTATTCTATAGAGCAAGCTGTGAAATTTATAGAAGAGAGGATAACAGAGGAATCTAAGAGCTCTCGGCCACTTCGGGGACCATATTTAGCTAAACTGGAGCTGATTAGACGTTTGCGATACAGAGGTTGTAATGATGAATATAAACTAGGTAAGAGCCACTAACTAGGTGATAAATTAATCTTTTAGAGCTTGTTCCAAGTTTGTGTTCTCTCTTTGCTAAATCACTGAGTTAAATACAATGTCTGTTACGAAAATGTACGTGCTGTTCTGTATGTAAAGCATTTTGAAAGCATTAGAAGATGGGCCTTGAAGAAAAGCAGATAGTTCCAGACTGCTCCAGGGCTTGTAAAAGCAAGCATGGGAACTTTCCGAAGGACCTATGGGATCTAGGAGCCTACAGTCATTGACATTGTAATGAAAAGTGCATTCCCGATGCACTGCTTTTGTAAAAAGTCCTGCTGTTACTCTGTAATCTCTGGGTGGTTTTTCATTTAAGTTTTTTGGCAGTAGTACCAGGTTTTGCTTTTTAAAATCGCATTTAGGGAATCAGCAAAGGAGAGAATGTGATTAGAGCAACATCTGTGCTACTTACTAGTTCCTTTTGTATTTCCATCCAAAAATAAGTTACTGTTAGATAAGTGGAGGCTGTGTATGCATGCCTGTGATGCTGAGCTCTTATCTGCCAAAGTAGCTTGAATGAAGCTCTTGAGGTTTTTCTATGTGTCCTTGGTTACCAAAGACATTAAGCCTCTGTTAAAATCTGCAGTAGTGCAGCTATCCGTTTTCTAAATTGCTATGTAATCTCGAAAGGGTGGGGGGGAAGCATTAACAAAGATTTCTGATAGTGATTTTACAGATTCAACTTTTAATGGAGCATGTTAAAAAGATGAACTGGCCTTTTTCCTAGGTGATCCGGAAGAACTAATGTTCCAATACTTCAAAAAATTTGGGGACAAACCCTGCTGTTTTACTGATCTCAAAGTATTTGTGGATCTCCTTCCATCCAGCCAATACACAAAGGTAAGGAAAGATAAAGAAGTGGTGGCAGGAACTGCAGCGCTTGATTGCACTCTGCTCCCTTTATCTTAGAATACCTGTGGATCATATTAAAAGACTGGAAACATCAAATTTCTACCTTCTGTTTGAAATTCGGAAAACTCTTTGCACTGCAGAAAATATTATGAACATCTGAATACACTGAGCAATTTCATTCAGTGGATTTTTACTGGAGACGAAAATCTGTTTGATCCTGCAGAGTCTCAGACCCAGATGTAGTATTCATTTGGCTTTTTTATTACGATTTCAAGGTGTCAGGGTGCTTTGAGATGGACTTGGTTGAATTCTTGTATCGAAAATGAAAAGCTCGTAATGCTGATAAAATTTACAAGATACAGGCTTGTATCTTGTAATGAAAAGCTCCCTAGGAGTTGTAGTTCAATTAATAAGCTACCCGATCAGCTCATTTTTAAATGAGTAATCTCTCGTCACTTTTGTTTCTAGATCACAGCTTACAAAATGGAGTAATGTGAAAACAGTAAAGAGAAAGACCACCCTGTTCATTCATTTGCAGTTCTCATTGCTGTGTACTGTAAC